ACCACTGTATATGCTTTTTATCCATTAAAAAATTATCTCCTACTTTTCTTGTGTCTAGAACTTCAAACATAAATTCCCAATTAATATTATCAAATGCTTTCCCCACATCTAGAAAAACATTCCTAACTTCTCCAGATGTTGTTCATAGAATTCCAACACATCTATTACCAATCTTACACTTTGTCTCATATGTCTTTGTGGTAAGAATCCTGTTTGATCTTCCCCAATCCAGCCTTTAATACCCTCTTGAATCTCTCTGCTAATATTTGAGCAAATATTTTGTAATCTACATTTAACAGTTATACAGTATAGGTCTATAATTTTTTGGATCCTTTGGATCTCTATTTTCTATGGGGATAATTATGATGTTGACTTCTCTCCATGTTTCTGAGTATCCTTCCAGTAAAATCTGGTTTATTGTTTCTTTTAATGGAGGCATCAATTTCTCTGATAATTTTTTATAATATAATGTGGAAAAGCCATCTGGGCCTGGTGTTGTTTCCTGTTTTAGTTTTTTTTAAATTGCCTCTTGTACTTCCATTGTCGATATTGGTACATTTAATCTATTTCTAATCTAATGGTTTTGGTAGGATTTTTACTTCTTGGATCCACTTAAGGAATGTTTTATTTGTTAGAATCAGATCAATTTTTGATAATAATTTATGTCTACCTGAATAAAAAGTATATTCTTTGGTATCCCCATGTTTTATTCTCCAAATGTCCTCTAATGTGAAAACATCCAACATGTCAAAAAAAACTTTTGGTAGTTTCCCCTGATTCTCTTTTATTTCATTTTCTGATTTCCGATCAGCTTTAGGATTTATTATTCCATTCATATCCCCTGCTATAATCAATTCATCTCTTTCTAATTCTAGTAATGTTTGTGTTAATTTTTGAAATAAATTTGCTTTTCCTTCTATTGGTGCATATATTGAAATTACATTTATTTTTTTCCTTGTATTTGAATTTCTACTCCTATATATCTTCCTTCCTCATCATATAATATTTCTTTTAGTAGACAGTGTTCTGGTACATAGATAACTACCCATCTCTCCTTTTTTTTGAGAAGGCTGAAATATAGCATTTCCCTATTTTCCCATTCTTTAGATATTTTACATCCAGTTGTCTAATATGGGTTTCTTGTAAGCAGATTATTTGGTTTCTTTCAATTCACAAGAAATGGAACTCTGGTGGAAAATATACTGAAATTTTATCTATTTTCCATTGAAGGTCTTTGATTTTTACCCTAATACATTTAGCCAGAGCTGGAATTAAAATTTTATACAAGTCTTCCTGTTGTCCCTCTTCTGGGAGATCTCTAATTTTTATGCATTTTACTCTCTGTCTCATTTCTAATCCAACAATTGACTCTTTGCTTTCTCTCTGTTCTACCTTTTCCTTTTCTTTTAGCAGCTCCAGTTCTAATCTGTCCTTGGGTTTCAGTCAGATCTTCTTTTACTGTTTTTACTTCTTGTTTCATTTGAGATATAGAGCTTTTTAACTGATCTATATCAGCTTTAACTTGATGTTTTATCTCTCTCATTTCCTCTTAGATTTCATTCATTTGTTCTAAAATCTTATTTTCCATACTTTTAAACTCTAACAAAAGCCTTTACACTTGAACAGAAGGGGGGTTGTTTGTAAATCTATAAGAAAATTTTCTATAGATTTACAAACAACCCCCCTTCTGTTTTCTTGCCTGCATTGGCTTTGCTTATCCTTTTCTTTCTGCATTCTTAAGTTTTCTAATCTAATTTTTTATATGCTATCAATACTTAGTGTTTCCTTTACCACTTTCTGCCCTTTAAAAGATATCCACCTGTGTCTCAGTTTCCTCAGTTCTGCCCCAGGTTGTTTTTCCTTGAGTTCCAGCCAGTCTTCCGCCTTCCTCCTTGTGGTCTTTTATTTTTTCTTTTTGTAATCTTTTCTAGCTCTTAATTTGGTGTTTTCAATCATCAACTCCCATTACGTTATCCTAAGGTATTTTGTTATTTTCTCTTTTAAAGGACTCACTCTGATCTGACAAATCCTCATTTTGCTTCTCACCCTGCTCTGTTCTTTGTAATCTTCCAAACCCCCTCCAGTTCTCTTCATTAGTTAATTAATAGTTATTTAATAGTCCATTGAAAAGGTCTTTACTCACAGTATGTTTTGCATTCACACACCCATTTCCTCTTTTAAAAATAAAGTGGATGGCTTGGCTTGGTTTCCATAGAAAACCGCTGGTTCAGCGTTGTGGCTGCTTTGCATATCCTCCTCTGAGACCTGGCAAGTCTGTTTTTCAACTCCCTTTCTTCTATTCACAGATTTTATTCCCCCCCATCCCAAGGTCACTTTGGAGTCGGCATTTGGCTCCACTCCAGGTTCCTCCTCTCCTAGAGATGACTTTGAGTCAGCTGAAAAATCTCTTAGCTGACTTAACCTGAAACTGCCGCAGGTTCGATCCTCACAATCAGAATCTTGCTGCTTTTGCCAGCCACACTCGCCGGAAGTTGTTAAAATAATTGAATATTTTAGTAATATTTGAAAAAGACAATTTCCCCCCCATAAAGACAGTTAGGTACTTTGGCCCTTCCCCCTACCCACTTCAGCCACACTCCTTTGAGACTGTGGTCCCCAAACTATTAATCAATTTGAATAAGGGTCTTCAACACAACCAAAACTGACCATTTCTACTCTATTTGAAGGGCTGTCCAGTTGAAGCCTGCTTTAGAGGGGGAAAGGAAATGTCAAAGGAAGAGCAGTAATCTTGAAGTTGCCCATGAGCTATACTTGAATGGGTAATTCAGTAGTCATACTAGTTACTGATATTCCCCATTATGATCTGAGTTTCAGACAGTTTTGTTATTTCTGCTAGGTGCAATATGATGTCTCTACACTCAATGGTGGTTCAGTAGGCATGAATTTTTAATCTTGCATCTGTGTTTAAATACACACATGGTGAAGTCTGTATTTAAACAGATGCAACATCTAGCCATTTTTAAAGATTTCCATGCTTCATCTTCCTCCTTCATAGAGATGCGCGTGAACTGGTTCAGCCGTTTGGTGTGATTCATGTTCATTTCCACTCCTAGTTTTTAATCACCAAGCCTCATTATAATAATTCTGGAAAAGGCTGAAGGCAGCAGGAAAAGAGAAGACCAAATATAAGATGGATAGATTCCCTAAAGGAAGCCACAGGCAGGGGTTTTCAAGAGCTCAGCATGGTTACTGAGGACAGAACATCTTGGAGATCTCTCATTCAAAGGGTCAACATACGTTGAAGGCTACTTGTTTGCATGTAGCAACTAACAATGACAATAACAGCCTCATTAGACATATGAGGCTGGGAGTTAGATTCCCCAATATGGCTCCTTGAAAGGGGTTGAAACTGATGATACATAGGGTCCCTTCTGCCTCTGAAGTTCTAAGGTTATTATTCTTATCAAAAGCTTTCATACTAATGTGAAATTGCAACTAGTCCTAAAAAAAGGAAGAATACATCTATTAATGTTGTTTCGTTCTCATGGACCAAGACTGCCACCATCATTTTTGAAAACATAGTTTTTGTGCATAAAAGTATGCATATATTAGAGAAAGCTACATTTGATAAATGTGAATTTCTCTGTGTTTTTTTAAAGGCAGTTTAATGGGGTAATTGGAAAGAATGACATCAGCATGCAAGCTGATAAGGACTAGAAGTGAAGTGATTCACCTGTCCCTAACTATAATGAGCATTAGCGATATCTCCTTGGATCAGATGGAGACTGAATAGTTTCTTGTCCCTTTTCAGTTTCTTACACCGCAATGTTTGTGCTTCCCAGGGAGCATCATAAATCACAACTAACATGAATTGCATCGCTACTGCCACCATTTTATCCTTGGAAAGACAATAAAAGAGAGAGAATGGAAGTTGGATATACTGTATATGAGAGGAGGGGGGAAGCAGGTTGTGTTATGGCTCTGTATCTGTGCAGATTTGTTTTCAATTTGTTGTTCACTGAGCAGATTACATGACAAAAGTGTGCAAAGTAAAATACAAAATAAAAATACTAGAAACCACAATCAGCACAAGCAATACAATATAACGGATAGAAACAATATCATTTCACCACTCTACAAACAAATTCAAACTGTAAAATCTATACCCTAAAATAGTAAAAGTTTGCAAGAAAAGGAATGTCTTTGTTTAGCACTCAGCAAAGAACAGATGTTACAGATGAACACACAAGGATGCGCTGTGATTGGTTTTGTAAATCTTAACATGTGTGTAATCTGAAAGTGACTACCACTGTCTCAGTCACGCTCCCTTCGCTCTTCAAAAGTCCTTTTCCAAGATCTTTCAAGCAATTGGGGAAAATTTATTTATTTATTCCTTTATTCCTTTTCCCCAGCATAAAATGAGCCAGGGAGAGGTGTTATATCCTTCAGTCAAAAAACATGCCTAGAGTGGCTTAAACAGTATAGAAAAAAGAATATAATATATGCAGATAAAACCTTTTGATTAAAAACTATAAAATAAAATATTCATAATAATTTTTAAACATAAATAAGACTGGCTCTGCACTGTTGACAACTCCAAGTCCTTGAATATTCAACAATATTAATATCGTATTCGCAAAGGCTTTCACAGCCAGGATCTAATGGTTGTTGTGGGTTTTTCAGGCTCTGGCTGTGTTCTGAAGGTTGTTCTTCCTAACGTTTCGCCAGTCTCTGTGGCCGGCATCTT